TCGTGTTGCTGAATGCAGGCTGTAGGTACACGCGCGTCAGTAGATGCAGCTCACGGGCCCTAGAGTGCTGCCTCGGCAGTTCTGGGGCACAGGCACGTGGGATCTTCCCAGATCAGGAATCGAACCCATGTCCCATGCATTGGCAAGCGGATTCTTATTCACTGAGCTGCCAGGGAAGTCCCTGTGTTCCTTCTTTAATTCATGAAACCTTACTTAGCACTTGTTGTTCAAAAGGAACAGTCTTAGGGCCTAGGATAAGGCTGAGGACAACCTGGCATTATTATTTTTTCTTTTAAGAGTTTACATCCCAAAGTAGAGAGAAAACATGTGCACAAATGTCCTCCAGATGTTTTATTTTCAGGACCTAGAGGCATCTGCCTGCTTCATTCTTTCTGCCTAGAATGCCCTTTCTCTGATTTTCTGAGGATTTCCCCTTTATCCTTGGAGACTGAGTCCAAGGTCAGCTCCTTTGTCAAGACTTCCCTGATGCTCCTCCCCATTTCTCCTCTGCTTCTATACAGCAGCTTTAATATCAAGCTTGTCTTATTATATTGTGGTAGTTAGGGTCTTTGCCTGCCTGTTTGAGACTGTAAGGGTCTTGAGGAAGGGACCATGTTTTAATCATTTGGGCAGATCTAGCACTTAGAATGATACCTATAACAGATTAGGCACTCAGTAATACAGTTATACAGTGTGAATAACTATATGCATGGACAAATGTGTAACAAAACTAAGACAGTTGGAGCATCCCAGATAGAAGAGAAAAAAATACAACCCAGTGAATTCCAGAGTTGGGAATTATTACTACAGGGAATAGGGGAGTTGAGGAAGGTCTCTAGATGAGCATGATGTTGGAGCTAGGCCTTGAAGCATAGGTATAATATAGTTAGGTAGAGTTGATGAAACATGTTTAGGGTAAGAAGAGGCAGTCAGCAGAGAAAACAACATAGATAATGGCACAGAGGTGGGAAAGTCCAGAACCCAAAGGGGGATGTTGACCCCCTCAGATTATTTTTACTCCTGGGAGGAAAGTCAGACTGGGTTGGCAAGGCTGATCTTGGAATTGGCCTTGGAATTCTGTGGCAACAATTTCATCCACAGTGAGAGGGTTCAGAATAGGAGGAGTAAATGAAGCAGTGGCAGAAAAACCAGGTGTTCTGGAAGACTCTCTTTTTAAAACTGAATTATCTGCTCTGATTTTTTGGTGGTGCTTTAATACCTAGATTGGGCTGCCCTGGTGGCTCAGATGGTGAAGAATCTGCCCACAATGCAGGAGACCCTTGTTTGATACCCGGGTTGGGAAGATCCCCTGGAGAAAGAAAATGGCTACCCACTCCAGTATTCTTGCCTGGAGAATCCCAGGGACAGAGGAGCCTGGTGGGCTACAGTCCATGAGGTTGCAAATAGTTGGACATGACTGAGTCACTAATACCTAGATTATGTTTTTCCAAGACAAAAACTCATTTCCAAAGGAAGGGTGGAAGAAGGGCAACCAGAACCTGCCTTTCTTCCACTCTCTCCCTCTCCCTCTGGCCCAGGATTCTCTGCATCTTCAGAACAACACATGATGCCTCGAAACTCCCCACAGAAACACTCGGGATAAAATGGTCTTTTGTTTTTTCTGTTACAAGGACTTCACCTCCCCTTTCTGGCCTTGGCTGCTCAGCAGATACTGCAATCTCAAATCCCTGAGAGTGCCCTTCCAGACCAGGTGGTCTTGACCTTTTTCTTGAGACCCTGATAGCTGGCCTTGACCCCAGACCTTCTGATTGGTGACCCTTTCGAACCTTAGTAATCTGCTGGAATCCAGAACATCCTCCTTCCTTAGTTTCCCTTCCTCATCCTAGCTTATCAGGGATCATGGTTTTGTTGTTGATCTAGTGAGTCAAGAGTCTAAGCAAAGGAGATCTTGATTCTAAATAACCTCGTTTCCTTTATTCAATGCTTTTCCATTATGAGTGGGGAGAGTGGGGCCTGGATTAAGTATTGGTCCAGCCAGAACACCTTCTGGCCCGCAGTCCTTTCATGAATAAACTCACAGTTGAACTATATGATGTTTACATTTCCTCTGGCTCCACCTGCCTTTGATTTGTGCTGATAAAACCTACTTGAAGACATGGAGCAATTTGGAGGCTCAGTGAGCAAGTATTTGCAATGTCCTCTGAGTTGCCAACATGAATGTGATAATGTGGGATTAGGAGGATTCTAATATATTTGTATTTCCAAGGATCTTTATGACGTTTGCATGGTTAAGGTTGGAGAAAGTGGAGACATAATCCCTATCTGACTCTTCGTTTCCAAATGAATGAGCCAATTTCAGAGCAATCCTTTTTAACACATCATAAAATTAACTATGGGAAAAGATAATGTACAATATTTTTAAGCCCTTCATGCGCACACACAGCTACACTTTGTGAGGAAATATTAGGTAACATCAGGCATTAAAAATGTTTTGACTTTAAAACACTTAATGAGGACTCACAGATAAATTAAAACATCTCCATCTGCTATCTTGCATAGTAGGTGATATTTTACCATTGCACAATCATCTCCGAATCTAATTCCACCAGGAAGACTTCTAATCGCAGTTTAATTTTAGAGCAATATTCCACTTGGCAATCAATAAAGTGCTGTCGTCAAACTTTGATTTAATAGGATACGTGGATAACATTCACTGTATTATGCAGAGAAAGAAATACTTGCAGGAAAGAAAGAGGAGGATGAATTTGTCTCTCACTTTTCTCTGCTGTATCCCATTCAAGCTCACAAAAGCCTCTAAATCAATACTGCCTTGTTTCGTGAATATAAATCTCATCAATTTTACATCATTAACACCATGGAAAAGCTACTGCTCTCTGAGCAGTTTTTCTCTGCTAGATAAATATGCACTCTTAATAAGGCAAGAACAAATGGATGCTGGTCATTTTACTAAAAAACACTTCTTTCTTCCCCAACTTTGTGTCAAAATCCACTAAAATTATAAAGTTGTCTTATGGCCACTTAAGGGGCTAGGGTGACCACCCTCCATGCATTATGTCTAGTTGACACTGGGCAACCTGGACGGGCATGAAACCCCACAGAGAGCATCTTAAGAGTAAGAAAGAGGTGAGTGAATGGCTGGATTCTGGAAGGTAAAGCTGCAGCAGCAAATTCTACTGCAGAAATGATTCCTAAGGTCAGAAGCCTGAAAAGATGGCAACAGGCCGGGAATGGACATTTTTGAAGGTCAGGGTCAGCAATCCAGAACTAAGTAATGGTCATCATAAGAGGCAGGCGCCACTGTCCTGAGAGGCTGGCTGTATGATGTGAGATCTAGATGGTTAAAGGATCTGGAAAGATGGAAGGAGGCCTGGGAGAAAATCTACTTCAGTGGTTCTCAATATTTTCATAACCAAATTCTCCTTGTGTTAAATTTTTCCTTCCCTTCACAGATTCAGTAACATAGGAGACTTTGTTCAGTAAAATGCATTTATACTCATTTACTTTTCTATTTGGATTATTTGAATCCATCACTGATTGCCAAAGAGAATCTGCTCCAATGTGAGCTAAGGGGTACACCAGTAACCAGATAGAATTCTAAATAAACTCAGCATTTTTATTTGTGTGCACAGTATAAGAAGTCATCTTATTAGGAATAATTATAAATTTCTGTTTAGCTTTTTGAAATGTTGAAAATTGCCTGAGACCTCTTTTCATTATTTTTAATGATCCCTATAGATCCAGGACTTTGGGTTAGGAGCCATTGATCTGGTTCAAAGTTCTCCTTTAATAGAGGAATAAAGAGAGATCCAGAGAGATACAGTGAGTGCCTTGTGTTCACATATAGTGGCTAGAATTCAAGCTTCTTAACACCGAGTATAATGAAAAGGTCCTTTGTCAAGGACTTGAAACACATCATATAATGCTTAGATACATACATAAACCTTTACAGAGTACTGTTTAATGATGATTCTTTTAGGTACATTTCATCTAGGAAAATGACCATAAAGAACACCATCAGTTAACAGGATGGTGGATGTTGCTTGTTGAAGTTTAGTTAACAAGGGCAGGAAGGTCAGTTTCAAATGATGTTTGAATTACTGATCAGCAACCCCAACTTAGTTCAACAACTATGGTTCGGGCACAGCACTAGGTACTAACAAAAATGAAGACAGAGTCAGGTGGGGAGACCAGGATTTAGGAAAATACAACAAGAGAAGGAAGGTCTATGAAAGCCAGAAGCCCAGGGAGCTGTATGTGAGGAATCCTTTGGGAGTTCCAGGATCGCTAGACTGACGTTCTGGGGAACACAGGAGAGGGAGGGATCTCCTCTGCAGGGCAAGGGAGAGCACGCCTTGTTCAGGGGATTTCACAAGGCGGTGTGATTTCAAATAGGCCTTTCAAGAGGAATAGAATTCATGCAGGTGGGTAGAAGAACAGGTCTCGCAGACAAGGGGAGCAACACACGAAAACCCTCAGAGGTGTGGTGACCTGGGACAAAACAAAAAGGGTGTTTGATCCTCAGGTCAGTCTTACGACCACCACCTGTTGGAAAATTGTCATAACCATGCACATCTGTGGTCCTCTGAATGCAAAGGGTGTCCCTGGTCATTGTACAGTATACACCGTCCAGCAGGACAAGCAGAGGCCCTGGTTATGTGAGTGTAGTAGATATCAATGCAGAACGTAGCCTGGGCTGTGTCATGAGGAAAGACGTGGAAGGAGCCTGCACCACCGAGTGAGGCTGACTGGCCCCGGCAAGCATAGGAAGGAGCCCCCATCACAGATGCCCACTGAATCGGAACAGTCCTGTTTATCTCTCTGGTCACAGCATCAAGACCATGGAAGGAAGCCTCCATTTCTCAAGGACAGACACAGCTCTTTTTTTCCTTCCATCTGGACCAAGCAGCTTTTCCAAAGCCCTCTGGGCTTGTTCACACGTAGCGGAAACACATCTCTTATTGATCAACAGCTCGGAGGGAAAGTCCCCTGAAATAGGCTCTTCTTTTTGTCTCTCACAGGCCCTTCAGCATCATCATGCTGTTCACGAAATTTCCTACATCGCAAAGGACATCACAGATCACCGGGCCTTCGGATACGTTTGTGGGAAGGAAGGGAATCACAGATTTGTGGCCATAAAAACAGCCCAGGCGGTGAGTAGCTCCCTTCCAAGGAGGAGGCTTTTTCTTGTACCTTTTCTGGGATAGCACAGTCACACCATTGGTCTTCGAGGGCCCATTGTGACATGTGACTCAGCGATGCTGACGCTCAGCTTCCCATCTAGAAAAGATTAACAGCCTCAGAGCAAAGAAATAGGCTCACGCCCATCCAGTTGTGTTGTTGTTGCTTTTTCTAATGGGTATTTCGTAATGACTCATTATTTTCCTTTCTGATTAAGTTGGATGGAGGCACACTATACAAGTAAGTTTCCTTGTGTTGCTAGCCTCATTTAAAAAGAAAATAAGAAAAAACAAATAGCTGTTTTGCATAAGGCCTACCCTAATTTTATTGTATTTGAAATTACTAATAAATAAAAGCAGTGCCTTTTATGCTCATGATTATTATGAATTTGCAAATATAATTAGTTGAAGAAATGAACTTTAGCCTAGATGCAATTTGCTAAACCAATATAACAAGGTAGAATTAATTAAAGATGGAATGCTTTCAGTTTAATGGAAAAAGGAAGGGCTGCGGATTGTAGCCAGCAAAAACAAAAATTGGTCGTTACAGCTCAGTAACCATCCCCTTATTTATGTGCTTTTCTACCTTTTATTCCAGGCTGAACCTGTTATTCTGGACTTGAGAGATCTCTTTCAACTTATTTATGAATTGAAGCAAAGAGAAGAATTGGAAAAAAAGGCACAAAAGGATAAGCAGTGCGAACAAGCTGTGTATCAGGTATACCTGTGAATTTATCCTGGTACCGGAGACAGCAGGGGCTTAAAATAAACAGATATGAAAACTGACAGTCAAGGCTTCTCCTCCTGCTGCCAAGTAGGAATAAACAAAGATGAAAGGTTCCTGTGTAAATTACAGGCACCGAAAGCATGCCATTAGAAATGATCCCTATTCTCTGAGATTCTAGACATGTGAGAGAAAGTGAAATCTGAAAACTGGGGAAGATTTCAGGGGAGGAGATCTAAGGAAAGTCAATTGCATTTGCTTCTTGTTAACAGTGGGGGTGGGGCGGCTACAAGTGTTCTCATTTTTCTCTCTGCCAGTTTTCTGCCTTAATGACCCACCAGCCTCTCCTACCCAGAGCTGGTTTCTTCACTGTCCTGTAATTTCTGAGTGCAGTCTCACATCTCTCGCTTTGTATCCTCTTCTTTTCACCCTCCCTTCCCTCACTCTGCTGTAGACAATTCTGGAAGAGGACGTTGAAGATCCTGTTTACCAGGTAATTTTGGAAACTCGTCGGGGTTGAGGGTCAGGAGAGGCCTGGGCCTGTGGCATAGGCATTTTGTCTCCAGGCTGCAGAGCCTGGAGAGGGACCAAGATTATTTCTGAGGATGAGGTCTGCCAAGCACTCCAGGAGCAAATTTCCATAAAGACTAACAGAAGTTTGGCCGGCATCAGTAGCACAGGATTTAGAAATAGGCTTCTCCCTTCTTGCCCCTGCTTCTGCCTTCTCAGCAATCTGTATAAGTTTGATCCCAGAGCTAAATGTTTGCAAGAGTCCCTTGAATATTCTGAGTTCATTAGAGACACTGAATAATGAGGTGGCTTCAGTGAGTTAAGAGCCAGAAATGGGGACTGACATTTTGGCAACATTTGAACACACATCCAAAGGATGGTTTATGAGCTGGGAAAAGGACTGTGAGGAGAAGTCTCTCTGGCCCCTGATTGTTCAGGCTGCCCCCTGACTCCCTGGCCCATGCTAGAGGGGCTGTTGTGAGTGGGGGGAAGGGAGATCCCACAGATGTGCCTGCCCATAGCTTTCTCTGCGCTTTCTTCAAGGTTGCAGCCTAAGTGTGGGTAGAGATGGCTTCTCTTGGGTTCAAGTATATGCTCTGTTTGAACAGATGCAGAGGAGAGAGGAGGCCTCTTCCACTCTGTGCTTATTCCCAAGGAGAGAGAGCAGCCAAACATTTGACTTATGGGACATAAAAGACAATCTGAAATGTACATTTCTAACTGGGACACACATGGGTTCTATATGTGTGTGTCACACGTGCATTCTGTAGTTTCACAGAATGCATATAGTTTCACACGAAAGCTGCCACTGCTGTGATGAAAATAATATGGATAAGAAATGAATAGAATCTGAATAATTTGAAAGAGAAGCATCTAACATGGACATAAACAAAAGTCAAAGGTGCATTTGATGTCAGGCTTTGCTTTAGAATACCAGGGGTGTGGATTCGTATATAGTATGAGCTCAGCCCCTGGCTCATGGGCTCGGAGAGTGAAGAATATAGCCCTTTTTGAAATTGCCCAGTCTTTTAGAGTCTGAAACATGTATATGGAAAATTTGACTTCAGTATTTAAAACTGAGAATGTAGAGTAAGGTGATATGTATGAGATGAAGGTGTTTGGGGCTTCTGAGCACATCAGAATTGGCTTAGGACCATGGGCCTTAGGGAGCAAAGGGGAGAGACCCCTGTAACCCAGAGTTAACAAAGTTGGGGTCCCCAGGAGACATCATCCCCACACCGTAGTTCCCGCACAGGCAGACACTGCTGAGATCAGTGCCACTGGAGGAAGGGGTTATATCTCCAGAAAGTTCTGCAGCGCCTATGCAGTCCTGACTGAAAGGCTGACCATCAGACCATGGCAGTTTTCCTTAGAAGAGGCAGGAGTGTGCCAGGCCACGCGGAATGTCAGTATTGCCTCTTCAGGCTGTTTTCTCTTGTGCCTGTGACTTTAATGCTTACTACAATTTGTATCCTGAATTCCAAATGCTTTTTTTTTTCTTTCCTCTTTCATTTTCCCCCTAACTTTTCCTCTCTGGCTGCTGCTGTCATAGTACATTGTGTTTGAGGCTGGACACGAGCCAATCCGTGATCCCGAAATGGAAGAAAACATTTATCAGGTATAAATCCCTTTCCTCTCCTTCCTGCGCACCGCCACCAGTGAACCACAGAAGGGGCTGAACCCCCAGGGTCTCTTTTCTCTGTCCCAGCCTCTACCTTGCTCTGCCGGTCATTCTGGGCTTGTTAAAATACCTCTGTGTGAATTGGCGCCTAGTTCTCTGCCGTTTACCAGTAGTTTTCATGCTTGATCACTGACATGTTTAATGGCCAACTGGGTAGAATATTTTAATTTTTAATGGATCTTAACTATTTTCAGTTGACACAGAAATCAAACATTCCATTTTACTAAATTAATCCTTTGAAGGGTTGTTGTTCAGAATATGAGGGTCCTTCATTTCTCAAAAGAACGTGCTGTTGAATTTCTTTAAAAAGTCAATTGCACCACTGAAAATGAAGGCCAAATTAAAAAATGCTCTTTGGAGACAACACTGGGAATATTACCTGAATAAAAGAAAGTCGAGCTAAAGGTTTTGCCCCTTCTGAAGGGAAGTTAAATTAATATTCTTAAAAATGTCTGCTTATGTGAAGAAGCCTAAACACACTTTTTTTTTAAGATTTATTTTGCCAAAGTATAATTGATTTACAGTGTTGTGTTAATTTCTGCTATACAGTACGATGATTCATTTGTACATGTATATGCCTTCTTTCTCATACTTTTCTGTTGTGGTTTATCACAGGATGTTGAACATAGTTCCTTGTGTATTATAGTTCCTTGTGCATTATACAGTAGGACCTTGCTCTTTATCTTTTCTATAGATAACAGTTTGCACCTGTTAATCCCAAACTCCCAATCCTTACCCCCCACCCCCCCTCCCTTGGCAACCACAAGTCTGCTGTACACTTTTAAACTCGTTAATTCTCCTAAATATGCTGTAAAGTAGGTATTTTAATCCCACTTTTTCAAGGGAAGACTGAGGCTCTGAGAGGTTGAGTAGCTTCCTCAACGCAGTACCGCTGTTAAGAGCTAGGACCAAACCCACACTGCTTCCCCTGTGCTTTTCCACCAAAGAATCTGTGTAATTACAGCACCGCCACACATCAAACAAAAATGACGACCTCCGATTTTTCATTAATTAGAATTTTAGCCCTAATTTGAAATATAAACATTATGGAAGCAAGAAAATTTTTAATGTATTTAAATAAGTGATTTTAATTTTCTTAATTTACTCAGTTGTGTGGTCTGTTATTCTGCCTTGGGCATGCATTACTTGTGTAATAAAAGTAAAACATATTTTCCGTTTTCATCAAATGCACAGAATTCTAAATGACCAAAGTATGTTAGTTCTACCAGCACCTCGGTTTAACCAGCCCTAGGGGGTAATAATCTATTTCTATCCATTGGTTCCATCTGGGTTCAAGTGCAAGCTTGCTCTTTGAGAATTTGTCAGAAATCATCGGTTACAGAGTTTCTGTAACAGAAAAGTTGCATACCTGTCCTCAGTGTAAAATTTTAAAGTCCAACGTTGCAGTGTCTCAGTATTGTTACTGAACCAAACTTGGGTCCGCAGACAAATCTACTGACACCAGGTTGTGGTGAAGGAAATTGCAGAACAGCTCAGGAAATGTGCATCAGATTCTATTATCTAGGTACTTCCAGAAGATATGAGGCAGAAGCCTGTTCTGGGAAGGCCCCATAGGATCCTGCTCAGTTACAATGTGACTCCAGAGAAACCACTAACCAGTCATCTGATGAAGAGAGAGAACCTTTTAAAATAAAATTAGACTTTTCAATATAAGAGGTTCTTGAATGCAGACATATCTGTAGTTGGCAGGGCTTCTTTTGTGCCCTGTCAGGGTCTCTAGGGGGCAGTCTAGTGTACTAGGAAGAACTGGCTTTGGGAAGCAGGGAACTGGGATATACTTCTGACTCTGTCACCAGCTACCTTTGGCTAAGGGATAGTGAGCAAGGCACTTGCCCTATCTGAGTCTCAGTTTCCCCAGTGATAAAGTAGGAGAATAAGTTCTCCCTAAATCACATGTAGGCATGAGAATGAAACAAGATCACAAGGAGACTGTAAAGAAGAGGTTTCATCCCAGGTCACACACTGCATCCACAGCCATTAAGCCACCTTGTCAATCCCTTTCCTTCTCTGAGCCTCAGTTTACTTATCTATGAAATGAGCAAGTAAGATCAAAGTTTCCCATGGGCATGGCCCTTTTCTGTTCTTTGCAACTAGTGCCTCAGCACAGGACTGTTAGAGAAGCATGCTACCTTGCTTGTTGCTCTGTAAAAGCAACAAGACTTAGAAGTGCTGCGTGTACGTATGTGTGTGTGTGTGTGTATAGTTTTGGTAACATTTCTCAAGCAAGGTCTTTGTGAATGGGGGCTTACATACAATATCTTCTTATGTCTCATAGCTACCCCAAGTAGCTCAAGTCATAATTTCCACTTTATAGATGAGAAAAGAGAGTGTCACAGACATAATGTATGTTGCCCAGGCTTACAGAGCTAGCAAGAGGTAGAACCTCCCACTTGCTGACTTCTGCACATAAATAAATAAATCCAAAGTCTCTTTTCAGTTCAGAATATCCTTGATGGTAAGTTTTAACAGTAGATTCTATATAGGTTTCAAGTCAGTATCTAAAAGTTACCCTTGTGTTAACAGTTCTGACATCCAGGATCTTCCCCTCTGTCCATAATTAATAGGAAGAACCACTCAAGGGAATGACTGTTTTGTTGCTCTCTGTTGGAAGGGCCTCTGGTCATCTTTCTCTCTTGTCTTGCCAGTCCCCTGGGCCTCTTTTTTCTTAACAAGAAATAAGCTCTTGGGCCTGAGGATAGGCTGTGCTTTTAGGGAGCTGCTATTGAGAGCCTCAGCATTTTTTTAGGGCCTACAAGTGTCCCATATTTATTCTTCCTGAGTAGACTTCAATGTTTCTTATACTTTGGCTTGGTCAAGGTAGCCTCAGATTTGATTTGATTTGATTTGATTTATCCTCTGTTTTCTGGAATGAGGGCCTAAGGTTTTAACTGTTTTGCGACCTCAGGTGAAGTACCTAAGTTTTGTGTCTCAATTTCCTGGGCTACAGACTATAGATACTATAGTCTCTGCTTCTAAAAGTGGTATGAATATGTAAAGCAACCAGGACAGGACTTTGGTACATAGTAGGTTTTGTGTAAATGTTAGTTCCTTTCACTTGCTAACGCCATCAATATCAGACGCTGCTTGAGACGTCTTATGATGATGTATTAAGTGAAGTACAACATGACTTGCTCACCTTATCTTGTCAGAGAGCCCAGTGGAAAGCTGCAGCCTCACTTGACTTTGCTATTTATGACTCCAGCACAAGGGAGGGAGAGACTCTTGAGTAAATGTCACCTCTCTTTGAGGATCAGTAGTCTTATTTTCAAAACTGGATTAATAATAATAATAATTGTCTTTCTATTTGCATGCCTTAGGAAAAAATTATTAGTTGTCTTTTTTAAAACAACACAGAACCCCACAGTACAATGTGTTTTTACCCACCACTTAATTCTGACTCTTCCAACAACTCGGTGAGATGAGTACAGTTGTAATAACTACCATTTTAAATGTAAGATATTTAAGTCTTTCATACTTAAGTGATGGGCCCAAGGCCAGAGCCTCTGATTTTAAAACCTAGTGTTCCTTCATACTTTAGCAAGCTTCTAGCATTAGCGGGATCGCAGCTTGCCAAGGGCACATGCTCTAAGTTTGTTCATTCGAAAATCATTTTTAATTACCCAAGATTTGTTACACATTGTTATTTTAAAATGACGTGTCTCTAATCCTGTGTCACCTAGCCGTCAACCTGCCCCTCCACACTATTAATATATCACTGCACTGAAAGTGTCTTCTGTATGGATGGTCCTTAATGTATAGTTTTTAGAGTAATTTCATTTATTCACTCAATAAATAGTTATGTATGGAGCACCAGCCTGTGCTGGGTGCATTGGGATGTAATAGTGACATACAGCCTGGTCCCCACCTTCAAGGCGTTTGTATGTAACTCCTTCGATACTCATGACAACCAGATGAGGAAACAGGTTCAGAGAACAGTGACTTCTCCAGGGTCATGCAGCCTGTGGCAGAGTCAGGATTAGGAACCAAACCTTCCACCTCATTCTGGTCCATAACTGTTATCACTCTATACAACATCATATTACTGAAATGGTCCACAGATGGGACATACCAGTTAGGGGAAGATGAGAGCCAAGACCAAGGCACTGTCTGGCCTTCATCCTTATAGTGTTTCTGCTGGCTTTTCTGTCTTTAGCACATATGTGGTAAATGTGTGATGCTTAGAAGTTTCTTGTTTAACCAGTATTTACAGATGGGGAAACAAAGGTAATAAAACATCTACTGAGCCCTCAGCAGGCCTACAGATCAGTCAGAAATCAGAGCGACCAGGAAGCTGCAGTGTGGTTTGACAACCACTTTGTAAGATTAAGCTCCTTTTACACCCTCCTTCAGTAGCCTGATGACTTTTCCATCTCCCCCAGCGCGACAAGGAGCACTGATAAGTCAGGGGCCACATTCGTCTTGTTCACCACATTGTCCTAGGGAAAGCACAGTCACAACACTTAATAGGTTCTTGGTAACTTTTATTTCTTAATGAAAGGATGCACCAGATGTTATGAGTACAGAGGAATGCTCCACCAGTACTCTGGTGGTGCTCCCACATGATGTCTTAGCTGAAATAATTCTTAAAACACAAACAGGCAGGTTGATATCTCACCCATGGGACAGCCAAGCAGAAAAGCTTTTTCAATTATGCACAGTTTGGGTTTCTCCATCCTACTGCTTCTCCTCCATTTGCAGGCATAATTGAGAGTCAGCTGAGGTTCAACTTGCTAAGTGCCCATAGTGAGTAGTGAATTGCAGGGAACAGAAAAACACTGTTCATTTTGCTCAGGCAAGGGTGAGCTGCTAGTAAAAATAAAAGTGAGGGCTTGTAATTTATTGGCCCTTGTTAACAAGGACTCTGTAGGCATTCTTAGAGGGTTCCTTTTGGAGGAAGCTTACTTATCAGGAGCAAAGAAATTACATTCTTCATGGGCTGCCTGCAAACTAAAGTTTGCAGGAGTAATTCTGAAAGGGCATCTTCTGCACAGCCATGCTCACTCAGAGTCCTGTTGTTTTGCAAGGATGTGCACGAGCTTCCAGGAGTATAGAACGGATGTCAGAGGACAAGAAGCACCCAAATCTACTGTGGGAATGGTGGAAACAGGGGGGAGCTGCAGCTGTCTGTATGATGCAGTAGTTCAAGGCAGACCGTGTAGGCTGACGCTCCTGGCTTCCCACTCACAGAGATTAAATGAGGATGTATGTGAACATAAATGTTTACAATAATGCCTGGCACATAGAAAATGCTCTGGCAGTGTTAGCTTATACCGTTAGTGATAAATGTCTTGTTCCATAGCCAGAATGAGCTACCTTTGACTCTGATCACTTAACTAGCTATGAAACTTTGGGCAAATTTCCCTAACATCTCTGAGCCTCACTGTCTACTACTTAAAGTGGAGATTTTAATACCAACTTCTCAGGGTTGGTGTAAAGATTTTAAGGTAAGCGAGAGTGAAATGGCAAAGGGACTCAAGGAATAAGCTCAAATTCTTCTTTAAGCTGGTCCAAGCTTAAAAGATACTTTTTCTGAACTATTCTCCATGCTCGTCGATGATTACTTACGTAGCAGACCCCTATGAATGACTCCTGGCTCTTGTGGGCCGTGCCTGCTTTTAAGGGGCTCCCTGTCTGATCAAAGATAGACCAGTTATCAGACAGAAAACCACTACTGGCTGATCCCTCCCATGGCGGGTTTGAATTAAGCTTTGCTACTTGCTGAGGATGAACTAGTGACAGAAACTGGAATGTTTCAGAGCAAGGTCCCTGATAGACTCATTTGAAAAGTATTCCACAAGTCCATTGTTATTCATATGTATTTGCATACATATTTACATAATGTATCAATGGCAAAAGACGTTATCATTCTAACACTTTACAGTATGATGGAGCCGAGTAAACTTTTATTATTTACTCTCCTTTCTCTTTAATCAAGAAGCAGAGCTGAAGTTCCCATTTCAGTGAGGCTCAGAGGAGCTAAGTGACTTGCTTAGAGCTTGACAATTGTCATGTGGCCCAGTAAGGCCAGATGGATGAGGAAGAGAAGAGAGGGAGCAAAGAAGTTACGGAGAAGTGTTAGAAAACCATCAGAGAGGTTTTGGCTTCTAGTCGCATGCTTTTCCTGCCATGGATGGACCCTTTTCTTAAAGAAAAACCTTTGGTGATTATCAGATAGTATGTGAGTGATCCCAACAGAAGCTGTATTTTGTCTTAGAACCTTGATATTTGTTGTATTTTAAATAACCTGGACCTCAAATCAGCATGGAGTACTTCAAGCTCAGCTGCAAACTGTTTTTAACAACTTTAGGCAACTCCTAGCACCTCCCTGGCATCATTTTTGTCTTTGGTGAGATGATTATTTTTTTCACCACATGGTCTCTGAGGTCTCTGCCTTTTGCTTCCTCTGCTGTGGTACTGTGAGGAGTCCAGTGGCAGAGACATCCTGCAAACCTTTGTGGAGTGATTTACACCCCCTCTCCTCCTCCAGCTTGCCTGAGAGAAGGAGCCTGGCCTGACACTTTCATGATACCAGCAGCTCCTTCTGCTGCTGGAAGTTGGCCCCTCGGGCCTCAGGGCTGAGTTCACACACACTCAGCCAGGGGAAGGAGAGCCTGGCTGCTTTGTTGTTCAAAAGCAGAGTACCGGGGTGTTTTGACTGTGTTGAATTTGATTTTTTCGTAGGTTCCCACCAGCCAAAAGAAGGAAGGTGTTTATGATGTGCCAAAAAGTCAACCTGTAAGTGTAAGTATATCTCCTCTCTTCTGCTGGATCCCCACAACCTGGCTTTATACCGAGGCTTGGTCTGCAATCCAAGGAAGGGAGTCCACAATTTGCTCTTATGGATACAGATCACCACCTGTATGGCTTTGCTGGGGAAACTGTGCTGGGGACTGCTCAGTGGGTCAGGGGAAGGGGGTTAGAGGTGGAAATGATTGGGCTGAATCTGCTTGAAGGTCTGGCTCCCTGAGTGGTAATCTGCTGAATCATGAAAACTCCTATGTCCAAGGGATTCAGAGTCTCAGGTATTTTATGGAAAAAGTCTCCAGCCAAAGACTCCATGATGCCTGGTCAAGCAGAGGCAGTTCTTGGTTCTGGGAAGAGAGTTTTTCACTCAATTTGAAAGTGGTCAGGAAGCTTCAGAGAAACAAAACAAGGGCTGGCCAGAGCCTTTGGAGTGTGTTAAGGGTCCAGTCAGTGATCAGCACACTATAGAAAAGGCCATGTGTTGTAGGCTTGCAGAGAACCCAGGGGGCCCGCTGCACCTGGACCCCATCTGCTAGGGGGACCCCATCTGCTAGGGGGACTCCTGGAAATCTGAGATACAGAGGAAAATGCTCAGTTGTGTGTCACTGCTAGGCTCAGAACCATGTTTGAGACCTTCAGTTGCACTCCGAAGGCACCCTCTACCTAACCCAGGCAGCCCTAGGGAGCCAGTGCAGGCTTTGTGTGGGGGGACCTGTGACTTTGCCTCAGCTTGTGTAGAAAGAACTGGGGTGTTTAGTCTCTGTTGACCTCATTCAACCATGTGTGGAAGGAGCACTGGTTTTGAAGTCATACTAACCCTCAAGAACCTAGCTCTTGTCCTAACGGAGCTGTTGTGAGGCTAAATGACCTTACCTGGAACACTGTTATCAGTCCTGGACCCCACACCATGAGAGACATAGAGACAGTCCTGTATGTTTCAAGATAAGATTCATCATGGGGTTTGAAACCCAATTTGGTGAATAAGTAGCAGAAGGACCTGAAAACCTTTGGCCTGGAGAAATGAAATGATGAATATGGAGGTGGGCATCCCTAGGGCCATTAAATGGAAGAGGGATTGTACTGTTCTGTATCTGCCAACTCTTGGAACTGAGACACGGGGATGGCACTACAAGAAAGCCAGTTCTAACTCCAACTAAGGGTGATCTGCTGATGGTCAGAACTGCTCAAGGGTGGAACTCTGGCACCTCAGAGGGTAAGCTCCCCATCGCTGGAGCTGTATAAGGAGAGCCTTGAAGACCACCTGTCAGAAAGGTGATGGGATGAAGGTGGGGGGAGGGGCGGGGATTCAGACATTGAATGGCCAGAGGGGCAAGCCTTTGATACCCTTTCCAAACCTGAGTTTCTGGATTCCTCCAACCAGGAGTGTTTCTGGTCCCTTCTTTCCCTCCCCTGGCTCCACTCCCCTTTCTCCTAGTGAACTTTCTTTCTGATTCATTTCCATTTCTCTACCCACTCTGCGGTATCTTGAAGCCATCCTATCCCACCTAAATATGGCTTCCAAAACTCAATGCATGTTAGTTTTAGTAAGAAGACATATCTGAACACCAGCCCCTTTAAAAACACCGAGTGTAGAAACAAAGTAGAAGGCAGGCAGTATAGTGCCACTCGGAAAAAAGCAGTTTTTCTCTCAGAGGCCTTTGCATTTAATCAAGCCTGCTTGTCACCAAGACACTGGTCTGCTCTTTGTGTTTCAGTTTGGTCCAGCCCCCATCACACAGCTCCCTCCAATTCAATTTCTGCCTAAATTGCCTTACTTGCCCCTAACAGGCTTAGATATGTGAGGAAACATGCTCCATTTGCTGCCTTGGTTTTTGTGAATTTATTAACCAGTCTGGCCACACCACCTCCATGCTTAGTAGCTCCAAAAAAAAGAAAAAAGAAAATCCAGACTTCTCAACCTGACATACACGGCACTCAGGTCCCAGCTTCTGCTGTATCTTTGACCTGCCTCGTCCTGGTCCAGCTCCACTGGACTCCACGGTTTCCCGTAGCAGTCATACCCTCCCCCAACCTCCCTGCAGCCCTCCCGCAACATCCAGCCTTGTGTTTCGGGGAGCCTTTCTTAATTCTCCGAACAGTGTCAGCACATCACCCCTGCATTTGTGCCTCCACACCTGTCGTTCCTCCATGAGTAGACCACACGGTGTGGAATCCTTCTTCCTCAGGAGCTTCTGGGAGCTCCCGAGGTCCTTGTGTTACCAGAGGCAAGCCCAGGGCCTGGTTCATAGCAGCCCGACACAACACGGCTGCGCGAGGGATAGTTAATAAATATGTGAATGCTTCTTCCCTGTAGAAGGGATTTATGAGAATTCTTGCGATTTTTTAAATGAGAGTTTCCTGTTTCTCTGATTCACAGTAGTCACTGAGGACGTATGCTAAGGTTGTGCTTAGAAAATGCCGGGGCTGCCTGAATGCCCACAGTGGCTTCCAACCCATTGTTACCACAGACTCTCAGAAGCATTGGATGGTGATCATGGCTTTTCCATGAACTATCTCAGTATTTCTAAAACTCTGAGAGCGGGAGAAAGTGAAAAGCATAGTCTCAAGTTAGAAGCAGATGGATGCACCTGGAATCTCAATTCCTGTCTATCCTTACTGCCCGTAAGGCTTCTGATAGGTCTCCTTGCCTCTGAGGCACAGTGTTCTCATCTTCCAAAAGGAGTTACTGATGCTATCTTGCAAGGTGATTTTGAGGATAAAACAGTCTGTGTATTGGGAAGTTGTTCCCACTTGCCTAAACCTCCCAGAGATGTCTTATGTACCCTGTGTCCCACTTGCTCTGACATCTTCCCCTGCTCCAGGCTTCCCCCCAAAGCCCTTCCTCTCTGCCAAGTGCCTTTCCCCAGGATATATCTATGCTCTGAGAATCCCTACCATACTGTCACTGTTAACACCTTCACCACCTGCTCCTGACCCAGAAACACAAACCAAAGACAACCAGGCATCTTCCAAGGGAGTCTGGGGGCTCCTACAAGTTTCCCACAAGAAGGGAGACTGTCCAGTGACCTGTTAGTCTGGGGACCACCTGGTTTCTTCTTCCTTGGGACAGATCTGTACAGAATCCTAATAAAGGACTCAGCTTGGGGCTGTCATTGAGGAAAACCACCAACCAGACCAGAAATATACAACCACCTGATCTTCAGAGTCAGATCTGGGTATGGCTTTCATCTGGCCACTTATTTTAAGGGTCCTTGAATAGCTTTTTGCACCTCTAAGCTTAAATGTCATCATCTGTACAAAGAAAGTAATGTCTTTCTTGTAGCTTTGTTTGGCAGATCAAAGGAAAGATTTATGTAAAACCTTTAATAGCAGACATGGAGTCGATTAATGAGAACATTTCCACTTGTTGCTGAAACAAGCAATGCACCAGCCAACAGTTCTCACAGAGCTGAGAATTGCCAAGTATTCTAAGTGACAGCCACCCTCCACCAGGAAGCCTTCCTTACCCCAGAGTAATCAGCCTCTCTGGGATACCTCTGTCCTTCTCTTTGTGATGACCATAAAGGATTATTTTCTCTTAATGTATCCACTGAGCCATTGGACCTTAGGTTCCTTAAAAGCCTGACTTTGGGGTTAATGATAGCACCTACCTTAGAGTTTTTGCTAGCGACTAAATGAGCTTAAATTTGTGAAGGAGCACAGGACTTGGTGCACAGTGAGGATTCAGTAGCTGTGAACTGTTGTTATGCTATTTGTTTCCCTTTCTTTTTTGTGAACTCCTTGAGGACAAGAATTACTTTTAATCATCACTATCCAAGCCCCCCCCCCAAAAAAAAAAATTCATCACTATCCATAAGGAAACCTTTCTTGGGATTTCTGTTCTCCTTGAAATTTTGCTGGTAGACTCATTCCCCAGAAAGAAACATGTGTCCACATTTAAGTTTTTGTAGGCCTTGAAGCCAATGAGATCCCTTGATCTCAGTTCTAGAACCTCTGTTCTAAAGCCTCAGTCAGTGGCTCATCACTCTTTCATGGTCAGAGAGATACTCAGTAAGTGGCACATTTGACGTATTAGAGATTTCAGAGGTTTAGGGAAGCAGAAGTCGGAATTCATTGTGTTCGTTACATTGTTCCCAGGTAGCATTAGTGGTAAAGAACCTGCCTGCCAGTACAGGAGATGTAAGAGATGCTGGTTCAGTCCTTGGGTTGGAACGATCCCCTGGAGATGGGCATATCTACAGCTCCTTATTTTTGCCTAGAGAATCCCATGGACAGAAGAACCTGGCAGTCCATAGGGTCACAAAGAGTCTGGCAGGACTGAAGTGACTTAGCATGCACACATGCATGCAGGTTCAGACAGAAAGCCAATTCTGTGGTTTTACTCCCTCACATTCACCTTCCCTGGTGGCTCAGATGGTAAAGAATCTGCCTGAGATGCGGGAGACTGGGGTTCAACCCCTGGATCTGGAAGATCCTTTGGAGTAGTAAATGGCCACCCACTCCAGTATTCCTGCCTGGAAAATCCCATGGACAGAAGAGCCTTACAGTCTACAGTCCATGGGGTTGCAAAGAGTCAGACACAACTGAGCGACTAACACTTCCACTTTCACATTTACTCATCCCTGTCCTAGTTGAACACCCTCCTTGTCCCATAAACTTAGGATGCTCAGCTGTACTGGCCCTTTTCCTGTTCTGCTCTCTTAAATAACATATTAGGATTCTTTTGTTTGCTTATTTTACTTTGCAACTATAAGGTCGCCTTCTTCCAGCAGATTTATTCTTGAGGTCATGCTTTGCTTCTCTCCATCATTTCCTGGGAATCTGAGCCCAGATAAGGATTAATCCCACTCACTCCTAGAAATATATATTCCATCCCTTCCTGGTCAAGGAAGTCGGAAGCTTTGCACAAGGTCTGATCTCTGTATCTTAAACAGGTGGGTCTGTTTCTATGTCAAGGCCTCTGAAACCTGGTGGGATAAATGCTTGCTGCCGGGAAATGTTAGATGGCTAGAGAGTTAGGAGGGTTTCAGGAAAGA